GAAGACGAAGAAGAGATGGAAGCGATCGAAGAAAAAGAAACATCGGCTCAGTCTTCGCAGAAGCGAACCCGTGGCCGACCGCCGAAGAATGTGGCGCCGGTGGCCGTCGCCGCGTCCCCGGAAGACGATTCATCGCCTCAACGAAAATCGGCCCGAATTGCAAGAAAGTGAGTAAAAAGTTATTAACGGAAGAGTTATTTGTTTACTCATTGAAAACACATTGTTTCCGAGTTATAGGGTTTTAGCGAACAAATTATGTGAACACTTCTCTAATCTTTTCTATTATTAGGAAAATATCAATTGATTGAAATATTTTAAAGTATTTGATAAATATTTACATTAATTGCATAAAACAATTAAATATAGTTTACATTATATTTATAACAACTTTTAGACTTCCTGTGATTTAAAGCATCCAATCATTGATTCTTTGAACAGTGAAGAGCTTTGCAAACAAAAGTTTCATTGAAGTCATTAAAAGTAAAAATAAAATACAACTATAAATAAATGTGAATAAATTGAACACATATTTTGTATTTAAGAGCTTATAATAGTCTCAAATAAAGTGATGATTATTTCTACGAATTTGTAGTCAATGTTGTTTAAACTGATCATCTCTTTGTCATCATTTCTAATATCTCTAAACAAATGCCAATGAAATGCAATTTGAGTTTTAATAGCAGTAAAACATGATATTCTTGTTATGAAAACACTTGACTTAACGCACAGTTATGTGTATTAAATTAATAATGTATTTATAATGTGATTCTGTTTTCATTTCCATTATTTGTTTAAACATTACATATGAATACATGTGAAAAACTATTAATAGTATTAACATGTATTCATATGTAATGTTTAAACAAATAATGGAAATGAAAACAGAATCACATTATAAATACGATTTAATGTGCGATGAGTAAAAATGGGACCAAATTTTAAGATACAATTAAAATAATTGTATGAAATTTAATTGTTTATAAATTGTTAAAAATATTTGCAAATCGTTTTTATTAGACATTTAATAATTGTCTTAAAATGAAGAAATGATTGATTACTTGTATTTAAATAATAAAATGAATAAATGATTTTTCATTTGAAGTTAAAATATAGGGTTGACTTCATATTCATTTTTTATCGTTTGCCGCGTCCTCTGCCGCGACCCCTACCGCGAGCCGTCGGCGGCGGTGGAGAGTCTTCGGGAGAGGGAGACCTTTGCGAAGGAACCCTATAATCGCAAAACAATGTGTTTTCAATGAGTAAACAAATAACTCTTTCGTTAATCAATGTTTACTCACTTTCTTGCAATTCGGGCCGATTTTCGTTGAGGCGATGAATCGTCTTCTGGTGACGCGGCGACGGCCACCGGCGCCACATTCTTCGGCGGTCGGCCACGGGTTCGCTTCTGCGAAGACTGAGCCGATGTGTCCTTTTCTTCGATCGCTTCCATCTCTTCTTCGTCTTCTTCTTCGTCCTCTAAATCTTCTTTTTCTTTCTCAGCGACGGATGTGTCGGCAGTTTTGTCTGTCGACGCGTTTGTTACGCCTTTAACGGCCGCACGAGTCGTACGGCCAGTAGTGGCGGCGGTGGCTGTAGTGGTAGCGACGACTTCTTGTTTACCGCGTTTGACCACTGGCTCCGCTTTTTCGTTGCCATTTGTATCGTCTTCTGTGTGAATGGTTTCGATCTGCTGTTTGCGAGACCTTTGGATCGGATTGTTTTGCATGTTATTGTTCTCTCCCTCCTGTTCTATAATCACTCCCTCTTCGATCACATTCTCTCCGGTGATGACAACAATCTGTTGTTTCATTTGTTGCATCTGTTGTTGAGATGCCTTCGATGGCCGACCTCTTTGTGGCGGAGGTATTGATGGCGACTATTCAGTAAATCATAAATAATGGTTAATATAAAACACTTATAGCGTATGCCATGAATTTAAAAACCTGAGGAAACGATTTAGTAATCTTTCCAAGAATCTCAGCCTCGAGGCCACACCTCTTCGGCGGCGCGAATTGCATTTCAGTCGGCAAATAGCACTTCAAGTTGTTGTCTGAGGCCGAC